GTAAAATATCCAACAAATACACACTTACGAGCTCTAAGTTCTAACTTACTCACATTTTTAGCATAACCAAAGCACACACATCCAAACACTTTTGGGGGGAACAATGTAGGAATTTTGTCCTTACAAAACCGCCATAGGACTTTTAAAATTCAGGACCCACAAAGGTATTTTATTAATAAGATAGATAGTTGAGAGAATTGTATCTCCCCAGTAACTCTTTGGTAGATTTAAGTGAACATTAGTGACCAATCTACTCCAGAATATGCATGTTTTTTCTTTCAGAAACGCCATTTTATTTACTGGTGTAGGCACAACTTGTCTGATGAATTATCTCATTTGACTCCAGGTAGGCACGGAATCCACTATCTATATAATTTGTACTATTATCAGTTCACAGAATCTTAACTTTAGTATCAAAATGTGTACATATCATTTTGTGAAAAGATTGAAAACATAAAAATACATCATTTTTTACTTTTAACAGATAAATCCATGTTAATCTAGTACAACAGTCAATAAAAGTAACAAACTATCTATGACCAGAAAGAGAGGTATTCTAAGTACGTCCCCACATATCAGAGTGAATAGTCATAAAAATATCAGTACTTCTATTAAAAGTTCTTTTAAATAACTTAAAATATAATTTTTCTAAAATAAAAAAGGAAAGTTGTTCCAATCATCGGTGCCATTGTAGTATCTCCATATTGACTTCTTTATTCCCAGTGGTTGCTTGATTTCCAATTAAATTCAGATGTCTATTCAAAACATATAAACCATCTTACAGCTTACTAGTGTCAATCCTCTTCCCGATTTAAAGATCCTGAAAGATGTAATGACCAGGAAAAAATTCAATTTGACAGTTGAGATCTCTAGTTATACCACTAATAGATAAAAGATTGTCAGAAAAACTACGTACATGTAAAACTGAAAACAATGTAATAGTAAAAGTACAATTAATGGAACCTGTTCCCGACACGGGAGTGTATGACTCATCTGCTATACGGACATTATCCCCTTCAGTACAACAAGAATAGGTTAAGAATTCTTTAGAATAGTTTGTCATATGTCTGTTAGCTCCAGAATCTATAATCCAATTATCAGGAGTGAAAATAGGATGAGCAATATCTGATTTTACCATATTTGATATGCCAACAGTTGATGAAGAATTAAGTTGACTCAGAAGTTGCTTCAGATTTTGAATTTCTTATGTGGAAAAGGCTCTAACGGATGGTGAAGCAGGTGTTTCCCTAACTTCAACAAAATTTGCTTGAGCTCTTGTGGTTCCATCTTTTCTTCCTCCCCGACCTCTAATTAGTTTTACATGCAACTTCCAACAAGTTTTCCTTGTGTGTCTTGGCTTATCACAATAGTCACACTTCCATATATCTCTGGATAGATCAAACTGAGCCACTAATCCAGCCTTCTCAACTGGTGCAATGTGAAATATGACATTTCTTCTACTCTTTTCTTTCTGAACATAAGCATAAGTTTGTTCTAATGAAGAAAAAAGATCCTTACCAAACACTTGCACCCGTAATTGATCATATTCGGAGTTCAGATCAGCTAAAAAATTAT